TCTCTCTCTCTCTCTCTCTCTCTCTCTCTCTCTCTCTCTCTCTTCTTCTTCTTCTTTTTTTTCTTTATTTCTTTCTTTCTTTTTGTTGAAGTGTGCACATCCACTACTCTCGACATGGGGCCGAAAAAACTCTTGAAAACCCAACTCTTGAAAACCTTTCTCGGCCTTTTGGCTAAGATCAAGTGTAGTATCTGTTCTGATCAGTTTAATATCTGATCTGTGGTCCATCGGACCATATAAAAAAAAAAGGAAAAAAAAAAGAACGTCTGACAGCTCTTGAAAAAGAAGTAAAAAAAAAAAGAAGAAAATTTCCCCGTTTCAAGAGTGGTGTGGCGAGGCCCATTCACAATCCTTTTCGTCCTGTGCGCTTCAAGCCCTGCCCGCCGGCCAGTCTCGCTCCCGAGTGGCTGCGCTTCCGCGCTTGCGCGGCACAGTGAAAAGACTGAAGAAGAGTGTGGGGTTTGCAGTGTACATTGGGATTGTCGCTCTCTGAAAACTTTTAAATGATGTGAGGGATGCCAGACCCGTTTTCCGGCCTGTGTAATTCAAAAGCGGCCGTCGTATGAAGCAGGCCGGAGTGCCTGAATCATACGGCACTGGCTGCCCTTGGATAAAAAAAAGGGAAAAAAAAAGAAGATACAATAAAAGTATACTCACACTAGGCCCTCCGAAAATCAGAAAAGCGCATAATGAGCGGCCAGATCCAGTCCGTTGTTTACAAGAACTCCATCTGGCCACTCATTTTGTGATTTCGCGATTTTGAAGGCCTAGCCTGAGTAAGGCCTAAGAGTATACTCTGGTCCTTCAAAATAGCAGAATGAAAAAATCGCAAAGTGAGCGGCCAGATGGAGTCCTTTCACAGGGACCCACTCTGGCCGCTGATTTTGTGATTCTGCTACTTTCTTTAATACCTTGTGTGTGAGTCTGCAGTCTTTCTTTTCAAAACAGAATGACCGAGTTGTTCTTTTTTCTTTTTACAAGGCCGCCCACGTGGATGTAGGTTGAGCGGCGGCTGCCCCCACCCCTGTGTGTCATATCGGCCCACTTGCACACAGCCACAAGGCGAAGAGGCAAAGAAAAGAGGAAGGGAACAGCCAAACATTACAGAACAGGGGGCAACAAAACAGAGATGTCAAAACATTCTTGCCTGCAAAAAAAAATCGAAAAAAGCTCCGATCCCAGTGTGACAACCAAAGAGAAAGAAAAGACAATCCCAGATGACGATTCCCACATACAAGCACCGGCCCGCGCTCAAAAGGCCGAACAACGGGAAACAACCAACCAGGATGCCCAATAACAAAATCGAAGCAGACAAGATTAAAACAAATCCTAAATGACAATCCTAGATGACAAGTCCCACATGCAAGCACCGCCCCCGGCAACTACAAGAAGATATATCGTCACAAACAGAACTGCCCGGTAAACCGTAGGCAGAGAGAGAGAAGAGGACAACAAACGAGGGGCTGTGACAAACTGTTTCGTCGGA